CCCCCCCCCCACAGGAGCAGCAGGGCAGGAGCCCGAAGCTCCCCCCAGAGGGCGGGTTCCTGTGTGGCCATGTTCCCAGTTACCTCAAATGGGTACCCAAGGGAGGCACAGCTCCCCAGGCCCAGGGGCCTTCCCCCCACAGGAGGCAGGTTCTCCAGTGAGGAAAAGGGGGGCGGAGCCTAGAGACTGTCCCTGCCCCCCTCCCCTAAACCTTTTGAGACAGGTCCACATGAGCGGAATCAGGGGAAACCTTTCCCGCTGCAGCTGGGCCCGGGGCAGACCAGATACGGGGCAGAGCCAGATACGCCCAGGCCTTGAGTGGACACCAGGCCACACAGAAACAGAATCTGCTGGACAGAGGTTTGTGCTCTCTGAGCCCCGAGGCAGAGTCCGTTGCTGGCATCGTGTGGCGGGAGGCTCCGGGGACAGTGCTCAGCATTCTGGGGGTGAGGGGGGGAGGTAAGCGGTACCTTGTGCCCTTCGTAGCGCCGCCTTCTGCTCATCCGGTAGGGCCACACGGCGGAGAAGAGGGCCAGGTAGTTGCCATTGGTCTGGGCCAGGAACACGGGCTCCCGCGGGTGCAAGGCCAGGCTGGGGCAGGTGTACCTCTCCTGAGAAACAGCGGGCCGGAGAGGGGAAGGATGCTGGGCTGTGCCTGCTGCCTCTGCAGACACGCCCGCCGCCCTGCTCTCTGCTCACAGGCCACGTGCCCTCCTCCCGGACCTTGGCTTCGGGTCGGTATGAGTTTCCTGCTGCTGCTGTAACCACTGCCGCCAACTTAGTGGCTGGAAACACACAAACTTAGGCTCGTACAGATCTGGAGGTCAGAAGTCTGAGCAGGGTCTCGCCGGGCTAATCATGGTGTCAGCAGGGCTGTGCTCGCTCTGGGGGCTCCACTTGCACTCCTTGGCCCACGGCCCTTGTGGTGGATCTTAAAGGGCCCCCCAAAATGTATCCACGTCCTAATTCCTAGGGCCCCTGAATGACACCTTGCATGTCTTTGCAGAAGTAACTAAGTTAAGGATCTTGATGTGGGGAGTTACCCGGTATTCTTCCCTAAATTCAGCCATGTGTATCCTTCTAAGGGAGGCACGGGGAGATGAGACGCACACAGGTGATGTGAACCTGGATCAGAGAGTGACCTGCAGATGCTGGTGTAGAGCTCGGGGGGAGGCCCAGTGTCACCAGCAGCCACCAGACGCGAGGCGGCAAGGGACAGATCTGCCCCGCATCTCAGAGGGAGCGGGCCCTGCCAACACCTGATTCAGCCCAGGGATACGGAGGCCAACGGCTATGCTCAGAAATGTGTGGGGACACAGTGCTGATGGTGGAAGCCTCCCATCTGTGGTAACATGTTGCCAGGGAACAGAGAATGAATGTGCGTGCCCATCCCCCCATTCCACAGGGGCCCTCAGGGGCAGCCCAGGGCAGGGTCCCACACAGTCCACATGCAGCCCGTGAAGAGGTAAATGATCAAGTGAGAAGATAAATGAGAACAGTGTTCAAAACCCGGCAGGGAAATCTACTGTCTGATGGGCTGTCACACAGAAGCACCCCGGGAACTCCCTCCTCAGCATCGCCTGTCCTTTCACGTTCTAAGAGCTGCCCAAATTCAGAGGGCAAAGCAGGAGCGGTCGGACCAATAACACCCAGCTGCAGACTAGTGTGCGCACAGAGGCATGGATGCCGTGGCGGCCCCATGAGGAGCTCCCCGCGTGATGCTGCCGGTCAGGAGGTGTGAGTCTGGGACGGCTCAGGCCAGCAGCGCTCCACCCACCTCACTCGCTTCCCCTGCTCCCCGCTGGGGCTGACGGAGGCAGGAAGCCCCGGGGGTCAGACATGCCCCCCATACCCCTCCCACGGCCTGCCTTTTCCTAGGAGGTTACATGGGACCCTAAAGTGAGGTCTAGAGGGAGGTCTGCTCAGGGTCGCTCAGAACCATCTGAAGACAAGGGAAAAGCAAGGAGAGGGAAAAGGTGTGCGTGTACACCTGACACATTTTTTTTTAAATTAAATCTTTATTGTTCAGATTACATTTGTTCCTCTTCCCCCCCCCCCATAACTCCCCTCCTTCCAGTTCCCGCCCCACCCTCCGCCCTCACTCCCCACCCACTGTCCTCATCCATAGGTGCACGATTTTTGTCCAGTCTCTTCCCGCATCTCCCATTCCCCTTTCCCCCCCAAGAATAGTCAGTCCATTCCCTTTCTATGTCCCTGATTCATCATAATCACCAGTTCATTCTGTAGATCAGATTATTTATTCACTTGATTCTTAGATTCACTTGTTGATAGATACATGTTTGCTGTTCACAATTTGTATCTTTACCTTTTTCTTCTTCCTCTTCTTAAAGGATACCGTTCAGCATTTCGTATAATACTGGTTTAGTGGTGATGAACTCCTTTAGCTTTTCCTTATCTGTGAAGCTCTTTATCTGACCTTCAATTCTGAATGATAGCTTTGCTGGATAAAGTACTCTTGGTTGTAGGTTCTTGGTATTCAGCACTTTGAATATTTCTTGCCATTCCCTTCTGGCCTGCAAAGTTTCTGTTGAGAAATCAGCTGACAGTCGTAT